ACTTAATCCAATACTCCTTTTGGCTTTGACGTCGAACTTGCCAAGCATGGGCATGGGCTCACTGATAAACAATGCGGTTAGAAAGAATGGGATACCGTCGAAAGGTATCCCAGGCCCGTTTTTGTGCCTTCCGTGCCTCCTGGCAGGCAGGACTCCACCATGGACGAGGATACCGTGGAAAACGTGTCGAGGTCTTAGGAATAGAATGAACAGCCATCTGGACAATACAGGCAGTCACTGCAACCACACAACTGTCTATTGATGGCAGACTGATGAAGGCAGGATCAAGTTCAGAGAGAGGTGAAAGATGGCTAGTCGGCCTGATTCAGCTTCCACTATGGCACTCGGGTCGGGTAGCATCAACCACGGCCAACCTCTCTCAGTATGATAGGAAAATGATCACTGTCGACCATCCAAGAAAAGCGAGTGAAAACTGCAGGGCAGAAAATCAAGAGATCAATGGCAGTAAAAGACGGACTAGGTGCATGAAAATAAGTATATGTTCCAGTATTAAAGAGATAGGTTGTGATACAAGAGCATATGCTCTATGGAATGACCCCTCCCATCAATATCAGCACCACCCCAGAGGGGGTTGTGTCCATTAAATTCTCCCAGAAGTAAAAAAGGGAGGTGGCAACTGGTCAACAAGAGCTTCAAGGTCCGATTGATCATAAGTTTCCCCGGGAGACATGTAGAGAGAACAAACAGTGATAGCACAACCCAAGGAAACACGTATGGCTACGGCCTCCAAGGGTGTATCGAGGGACACAGATAAGGAGGGCACATGCTGGTCGACTAGCAGTGCCACCCCTCTGTGTACCCACCCATCACACAACCTGTCATTCCGGTACAAAGAAAACTGCTGAAAGGTGACTGTACTGGCAGGTTTCAGAAATGTTTCCTGTAAAGAGAGACACGCGGGATGATAGGAGTCAATCAAGGCCTTAATGCATCGAGATTAGAACGAAAACCTTGACAGTTCCACTGTATCAAAATGGCTATTTTTATGTAGGTTTAGGAGAACAGGGTGGAGAACCCTTTGGTTTACGATCACTCCGTTTTTCTTTACTAGATGGAGGTCGATCGATCTCCATGGATCCTGCCCTTGATTGAGCGGGCAGATCTCTGTCATCAGAGTGAGAATCCAATGACTGAGCACGTGATCGAATGATCGTCCTGCATTTAGGGGCCAAAGAAGGAGCCGCACGGACACCAGAGGCTGGTGCCCGAGAAGGTTGACCCAGCCAGTCACTGTAAGGAACAGTAGGACAGAGATTTGAGTAGATGTAGATCTATCAACTCTATTATCCAGGGAGGGCAGAAGACCCCTCACATGGCGTGAAAAAGCTCAGATGGAGGTACGGAAATGTCCGTCTGCACTCCCACTGTAGCAGTGAAGCATAGTGCAGTGGCATATGTCCGAGATGTAGTAGGGAACAATAGCTTCCA